TATACTTTTAGATTTCCTAGAAACAAAATTAACTTACATTGTGTGAATAATGAGTGAATAGATCCTAGTACTGATGATTCATGAAAAGAGTATATCATTCTTAAACACACAGAAGTTAATTATCAAAGAAAATCAACTCACATTTTATTCATTTTACTGAAAAATATTTAAAACCTCTAAGAAGTAGAAACATTATCAGACAATTATTACTCCTTTATTCTTTGACTTTCATGAGTGAAATTTGAAAATGAATTAGGAGAAATGGAAGAAAACCAAATAGATCTAGTAGCAATCAACCACTGAGTAATTAACTAGAAAAGAAGAAGAGATAACAATTAGAAGTAGTTTGATTCTATATTAGAGTTGTTATATCACATAACCACCTTAGAAGAGAATGACAAGGGAGAGTGAACAGAATTAGAATAGCATGAACTGATATTAACAAGGAATGAAATTAGAAGAGAGAGTTAGAACATAACAGCTGGGGAACTAAGCAGCCGCATGAGACGAAACAAACATTAGAGCACAGAGGTGGGATCATGTGCCAAAGGCTATAGAGCAATTTCAAAGAGACATCACACTGCCGCTTCTTCTCAATAACTTGAAGTCAAAACATACGATAAACTCTTGATACAACGCACTTCTAATATTCAGTTGGTTTTGCCTCTTGCCCATACTTGCATTTTACGTGAAGTAGAAGAGTCCGCTATTCTTCATGGTACCCAGCATCACATTCTTCGAGGGCAAATCTCACTAGAGAGCGCAGATCAAGGCCAGCGGTTTTGAGCTCTAAGGATCAAAGCAATCGACGAACGAGATGTCAGCGCATTATGACTTTGAGCTTTGGTAGAGTAAAATATGCTCAAAAAAATACAATTCAATAAATATTGAGGGATTCAAAATCAATTGTGTAGGAACGGACTTACTAGGTATCTCAGCTCCACCCTTGCGCGCTAGAAACGAGGTTTTGGATTCAGCATCCTTATGACGCTTTTTCAAATCGTCGAGCTTTTTCAGGACGTATCCGATAACTTGGACGCCGTAGTAAACCGGTTCGTTCCACATCTGAAGCAGACGTTGCACAAGTGCAAAATTGTCCTCACAGTGCATGAAATTAAACCAAGCTTCACGTTGTAGAAGATCGATGGAGACGTGGCCCTTGTCGCCGTTGCGACGAGACGCGTATTCGCGATACCAACCCACAAACGGGCGGCGATCATATGTCATGATAGCCCCAGAGAGGCGAGCTCTCTCTTTTGCAAATGACATGTATTCTACCCTCTCATTTAGCACATGGAGCAGCAATAAAGGGGGAAGAAGAGTTTTGAGCTGTGAAAATTTCCTCCAAACACATCGTTGATTACACACCTTGTGAGTAGCCATAGACTAAAATACGGATCGGAATAGCGAGTTCCTGGCTCCTAACTTCGGAGACCAGCTGTAGTTTTTGCGGGTGGGATGCGTCATCCCAGTTTCGTTTGTCTTGCTCCATCCACTTACGGCTGGTAAAGAAGACTTCATGGATGCAGAGCGGCATGAACAGCACGGAGGCGGGGATAGAGGTGAATGTGCCCATCCAAAGTGCACGTCCAACTTCGTTCAGAGCCAGGGCAACAATAGCTGATGGTGGGAGATAAGACTTTCCATCTTCAGAGAGATTCCACGGCAGGAAAACACATCCGTTTTCATCAGCATCTTGATTGAGGACAGCTCTCTTAGGCAAATCTGACAGTTTGAGGATGTTGATTTGGTTAAGTGTCGCCATAGTGGAACTTCTGATGGGATGCGATTATAGGCAGTGTAAATAATGTGAAGATGACTGATCTTTCTTTAGATAGTTCAGGGATGAGTTCTGCAACAGCAATGAACAGGCATAGACAAGAAGAAAAGCCAATACAATAAGGGATGAACAGCAGTTCACTGTGTTCCTGTTATGTGAGTCAAGAGATCTGACTGACATTAGTTGTTACTGTAACAACACAACAGTGAATGTCAGTATCTCATACCTCAAGAAACATCCAAACAAAGACTAATAAGAACTAGATCATGACTGACCACTGCCAAACTCTATGAACTTAATACTTGAAAACACTTCAACTTATAAATAGCAAATGTAAATGCCTAGAGTCCATGGTGGTCTGAAGTGTGGAACGGGCGTTTCTTCTTCTACTACAGTTAAATAAACCATCTGGTAGTAGCAATTGAAGTTTCCTTCCCTTCTTTTTCTTTTAGACCCCAATAACACCCCGAGTATATGTACGCAACAGTGGTTTTGAGAGGCATCATTCCCGTTGGAAACATTGACGTAGAATTGCATATCAGAGAATGGGTAGCTTCCATGTAGCAATAATTAACAGAAAGAATAAGAAACGTCAGGCTTAGATAGTGAACTACCTAGAAACTGCCTATAGAAGACATACACTCCGAGTGTACATTCCAAGAGCTTAAAATAGCCAGGAGATTCTGGGTTTGCACGCCAGATAGGTATTCCTGAAAACAAACATAGATATATAGACGTTGCGGGGATGAATACCAGATTTCAGAAAGACTCTGTCCAAAAAAGAAGAAGGCAAAAAAAAAAAAAAAAGAAAAAGAAAAAAAGAAAAAAGAAAAAAGAAAAAAGTAAAAAAAAGAGTCATTCCGCTCCACTTGTTCATTGCAAATACTGCAATGATTGATGTGAAAGTGAAAGCAGAATCTCTGAAGAGCAATAGAAAAAAGACTACAGATTAGTTATATCTGTGATAAGGTGGGGCAAAATGAATAAGAAGGCAATGGACATCACATGAGCTTTATTCCCCCTCCAAATGCAGCGAAAACTAGAAGCCATTGCTCTTCACCTCTAGAATTTCTTGAATGAAGCTAAGAGAGTGTGGGTAATGTTTCTGCTGTCTAGTTGTCTATGCCTGTGATCTGCAAGGATAGTGGCACAAATGAGTTATTTATACACCACCATTGATGTATCCTATTCAGAGACACAATCAAGGCAGCATATCAAACAATGTTTGAAAAATGAAATGAAGAGCATTGAAAAAGTTAAAACACATGATCGGCTGTGGCTTTGGAGTCCAAGTCCGACCAGTTCCATTTAAATAATCCTCTTGCCAATGCACTATCCCCTCTTGAAAGTCGCTTCCATCTGATAAGCGCAGTAGAGAGCGTGTATTTTACTTATACCTTCCATGAAATATCCAAAATACCTTTCCCGTATAAAGAAGCAATCAGTAAACGGCCTCGTTTGGAATCTAGAGCCCCTGTAGCGCTGGTCGAAAAATGCTGATCCATTGCCTATCCAGGAAATCAGCAACACATAAACTCGTGATTATAAATATGCTCAGCGGGAAACTCACTTTGATACAATGTTCGCGCATAAAACTTTGGCTGCTGCGGCGCAGCAGGGCACGGCGCCGGATCTACTCCAGCGCCTCGTCGTATCTCAGCAACCCATGAAGGCGCCTTAACAGACTCTGGATTATGGACCGCTTGAACGAGTTTGATTATGGATGGATGGCCACCGACAGTCAGCCCGCGAAGGAACCTCCCGTCCGCGTCGAACACAGTGGGGTCAGAAATAACGAGAGAGTGGTCGAAATTGACGTTGTCGGGATGGAAATTGACGTGAACAGTTTCATGGGTACTAGATAGAGAATTGGTCTCCGAGTCTCGCTGATAAATGTAGACGGCATCGTGCCCTGAAGAAGCCACGACGACCTCTTTGCCAGTTGGCGTCATCACGATCCCGTTCGCAAATGAGATGTTCGTAGCCACTATTTCGCACTTAAGGTGTTCGGTGGAAGAGAAATCCACAAACGTGACCCAGCCCCATGGCATAGAAAAGTATGTTTCAATTTTGTTGAGTAACGGTCTTGTCCTCGCAAGATAGTGATGGTCGTTCGTAACATAGAACTGGGTATAAGAAACCGGTGCGATAGAGTTTGGCGAAACAATGGTCTCATTGTTATCAGATACTGTCGTAATATACTTTGCTTGATAAAGGTCATAGTCGATATCGAATACCGCTACCGTAGTCCCAGTCCGCTGATGATTGGCGACAAAGGAGTCTTGTCTTGGATTGGGGAGAGCTGCGGAAGAAGTTTATTCCAACGGGGTGGAAATCGATCGTGTCGGGAAAGCCTGTAAGTACTAGCTCCTTAATGGTTCCCGTTGCGACATAGTCATAGATATAGAGACTTCCTTTCGGATTCGGATCCCTGAAGATTCCCTGTGCCAAGCTTCATATAAGCATCTTTGAAAAGCAAGGAAAATGTCACTTTTTTTGATCTCTGGGTACTATTCACCATAACAGTATTCCATCCCGACCTTCCGGGATCAAAGCTAATTATCGCGATGCCGCGATCATTGTCGATGACAATATCTTCCGAGAATTTGATGGTATCCGAGAAGCGGATGTCAGCGGATCCGCCGTCAAACGGATGCCATTCCCCTGGTAGATTGTGAAGAGTATGTATCTTGGTGACGAGAGGTTTGTAGAATACGGTAGATATTGTCCCTATAATTATTGCAAAGGTAGCGGCAATCTGATAATTAAACTGCAGTGAGGACAGAGCTTCTGAGGTTTAGAGACAGAAAGATGGCTGCCACGGTGGATACGTACTTTGCCTATCACAGAGATAGCCATGACAGCCTATAATAGTAGGTATTATGGGAAAGCCGATGCTTGGAATAGGAGCCAAGCCTGACAATAAACTTGTCAAACGAAGAAAAAAGAAAAAAGAAGCAAAAGGTCGAACATCAAAATCAAACTTATCGGGTTACACGTCGGCTGACCCTCGGGTGACTGACCTGAACTACACTAGTGGAGGTCACCTGACTCAAATCCTTTCTTGGCACAAAAAGGGTCAGCTGAGGATAAAACAAAAGTGAACTTTTTACCTTCTCATTCATCTGTCAATACAAACAGCAAAAGTTTTTCGAACGCGATGAAGTTGAAGATGAGACATCTAATATTAATTCTCCTGCCTACACATCTCTGCGGATGGCTCACTCACTCAGAAACAATCTTTTCATTGGCTATTGTAGTTTTCTCGAAATTAAGATTGTGATACACGGAAAAATCAAGGAATGAGATGTAGATAGCTAACCCCTTCTTAAACACAACTGACAATCATAAACTTATGACATAATTAGCTAACCATGTCGATCATTAAATCAGGTCAACAAGTTCCGCATAGCAAAAATGTACAACTGCCAACCATATATCAAACGTGCTCCATACGCCATGGAAATACAAAAACGCCCAAAAACATCCAACACATTGAAAAATAAAATAGCAGAAGGTCTACGTCTGTTATAGATTCGCCTCCATAACCAGTCGATTTAGATGCCCAAACGCATGTCGGTTAAGAAATAACGGAAAACTTTCAAGCGAAAGGAGAAAGCGAAATCGGTTGAGATGGTATTAGCTAAGGCTTATTGAGCTGTTCTGTTCGGAAGAACAAGTAAAATCCACCACTAGAGAAAGGGGTTAGGACACGCTCTTACTCCATATAATGTAGCTTGGAACCGGGAATGAAGGAGTAATTTAAGGCTTACCACAAAGCCAATTGGCAAAATAGACAAATCCAAAACCAAGCGTTCCAAATAGTGTCGATTCCCCCAGATATATCAGGGTGAACATCACCAGGACCAATTCTGTTTGGCGAAAATGCGCGAGCGCACATAGTTGCGATGGATCCTAGAAATTGTGCTGCAAGGAGAGTGAAGCAGATGTGGAATCGGGTAAGTGTTTGCAACAGAATCATGCCGAATCCGACACCTTGCATGGAGTCGAGAACTCCTAGCCAAAGCCATAGACTTCTTGATATCAACGCTCCTGGCAAATAACCGCCTGCCCAGGGAACGTGTTGGCCGATTCCGCTGGTGCCCCACCAGATCTGTGCCCATCGAGGAGCTCCTAAATAAATTGCAATGATGAGCCAAACGTCAGTTGCTGTAGGAGGGTACTGGATAACAACATACCAAGTCCGATAGCAAATAGGGGTAATATCCAACTGTGATCTTTAGATAGGTAGGCCAGGATTGCTGCAGCGAAGGTTAGTTACTCATTCATTAAAGATATAGTTTAATCCTTACCAAGCATTCCAGCCCACACTAGGACGAAAAATAGGAAAACAAGTAATACAATATGCCATGGCTTAGCATGCCTGGAACTCCATAAGACTGAGACACATATGGATTAGCAAGGATCACCAACTATGCAATGGAGAACGGCTTACAGGACCAGTTTCGACCGTAAGGTGAGCTGAGAAAAAAATTCTGAACGACAACAGTAACGAAGAACCATATCACGATCTTGCGACGGAAGAGGGACTTGTAAAAAGAGGGGACCTTCCCGGGGATTTGGCGGTAGTAATTGGGAAGACCAAAGAACAGCAATAGCCCGATACCCCAAAGGAACAGGCCAATTGGTATTGCAATTGCCCTACATCCCAGTTAGTGACATTCCTGATGAATCCACCCTGCCAGATTTTAAGAGAAATATATGCGCATGTGGTAAGTGTAAACTTACGTCAACTTCCATGTAGACGATATAGGATCCGGGTCAATAATCCCTAGGGCAATGTTTTTTGTTAACTTAGAACCCCAGTACCAAAGGGCAACGACATATATCTGCTGGGTGCCTTGTATGACGCAAGCACGGAAAACCCAATCCTTAACAGGCGCTCCACTTTCGTCGCCAAAGTTGAGCGCGAAAAAAATAGAACCGCTGGATGATGCCGCTGCGTACAACGCCGCTCCGATGTTCTGGATCCAACCAACCCCATCATCGGTCGGAGCAAAATGAGCAACCCCAATAAACATGAACGCAAGGCCGTAAAAGAAAAATGGAAGAGAAAGAGGGATAACAGATTTGAACCAGCGGAAAATAAACCACCAGATGATAGAGGTGATGAGATAAGTGGTCGCGACAGCATACAGTTTCGTGGCACTCTGGGCCAACTTCACCAGTGAGCAATGTGATCTGGTAGGAGTTGGCAGCAATTATTTGACCAAACGGCGAGCAAGAAAGAGTAAGCAGGCCAGTCGCAACCCGGAGCTGCATCACTTTTTAGACAGTGGCGGTACGTAATCTCTGCCCA